TACCTAAAACGTCCCTAGCCGCAACCCTCTAAACCACGGTCGCGACAATATTAATATCCAAGAAAGTTGATTTGGCTTCATTTATCAAGAAGATCATGTCCTCGACATGCGTCTTTGTGTTGTATGCAATCGTTACATTCACGAAGAATGTGTAGGACTATCTAAACAGTATAACTTTTCATTTGTTTATTTTGAATATTATGTATGTTAGTAACTAATGTAGTACTAACTCGTTTGCATTGAATTTTTGAGTTGAGTAGGTACTATACCTTTTTTTTATTCTGACATTTAAGAAAAACAAAACTTTTATAGCCTTCTGGTATGTTTTTCTTCATCGAAATTACAACTGGCGTTATTTGGGACAAGGTGTTCTTAATAGCGCCAATTGCAACCGAATATTTTTTTCACTAATTTAAATTCTTAGAGAAAACAAACCAAAATTAACTAACCTTGTCTTCTAATATACCTGGAGAAAATAATTACCAAATTGAAATTATTTTGGAGAATATTTAAGAGACTACGGCGTGGCAGGGCAAACTTTAATATGGCGTTGAATGAGTCACTGACCTTACATGTATTTAATAAAATTCAGAAACACTAAATATTAATATAACAAAGTGTTTTTTTTTAATTTATATATATTTTAGGTATTTTTTATAGAATAATAAAAATGTAATTTAAAAAAATTCTAGCTGTGAACAAACTTTATAACATATACAAGCCGACTACTTTTCGTAAAGAGGGCCATTATATCAAGTTTTTCTTCTCTGAGCATTGTCAAATATATTCCTCTTTCCACATATTGATGCTTGCAATAATAAATAACTCTTATTTAAAATATATATTTTTTTGAATAATAAAAAATGTAATATATTGTATTAAATCTAATTGTACTAAATTTCGGTATACTGCATGGTATATACAGAGTCTGCAACAGTGCGTTTCGGTGCATCTCTGTAGCTCATATAATAAAAAAAAACCCTTCCTTTCGTAATTTTGTATATTAATACATTTAATAACTAAATCAACAGTAAATATATCTATACTGACTTGAGATAGTAATACTTTAAGTAAACTTTAAAATAAATATTCCTCATCATTGTCACTTTTTTTCTCTTTATAAGATGGTGATATTAAATCACAAACCGACGTTTCGTGTCCGAGATACCACAATCAATTTTATTTTTTTAAATACGAACTTTTTTAAATAAATAGAAATTTTAAATTTCAAAAAAAATTTTAGCGTATATTTTAAGAACGACTGGATCTTTCTTGTAAATTTAATCTACTGCCTACATTGCCACATTATCAAAAAATTACGTTTCTTAACTAAAAACTAAAAATAATTCCAAAAATTTTTCAAAAAATTCTAATTTTTCGTATTCTCCTCGAGTTTCTGGGGTCGAAATATACTACCCTAAAATATTTATATACATTTAAGACTCACCCTATATAGGGGAAAGTTAATTCAGTGAGGTCAATTTTATTTTTTCCTGTGGTTACTATTAAGAAAATCTCACACTTTCATAGCCACTTTATTAGGGCTATCTGATAGTATTTTTAGATTTTCAAATTAGCTTTTAATTTGTGAGATATAAAGGCCAACTTAATTTTTTTAAATACGGCCCTGCATTTTTTATTTTAGATTTTGAAAGAACTCGGTCTCCTGAGTACAATCATAAACCTAACACACTTATATGCCACACTTGCTATTTTTTTCTTGTTCCGGACATTTGAACAAAATTTATTTAAACTTTAATATTATCAGATAGTCCTAATAAAGTGGCTATGAGAATGTGCAAAAATTTTTTGATTTTCTAAAGAGTAAGGACAGGAAAAAATAAAATTGATTTTCAAAAAAATCCGTTTTTTCCAAAAAATCTCAGCAATCCTTGAAAATTTTAAAACTTTTTTGGTGGCATCTTGGTGAATATCCCAAGGCGGCAACTTTGCCCCAATTTAACCATGTTCGTATCTATTACGGTTTCCGAGATACTAATGCTCGTACCTCGAATATGTAGCACCCTGTATATACCTCCTGAAACGTTAAGCACTTTTGTCGGTTTCCATTTGGATTCAATGCAGAGCCATTGCTTTTACAAAAAATTCATTTATATTTTTTAGATTTCTTTTCCACTACCACCAAAAAATGTTGCCAATAAACAGTTTTATTAATTTTATTTTATTTTACTTCGTTACTTTGCTTTTTATATGTTTTTTTTAATGAATATTAAATCGATTCCCATTTTTCAGCCACATTGCTATTTATTTAAAAAAAGGATTAATAGTCAAATATACAGGGTCCGGCAATAGTGCGTCGGGCATATGTAGCTCCTAGAATAAACAACTTGAGAATTTTGTTTAAGTGCATGCCTGAAGTATGTACCAGGATGTATTTCAGGAAAATATTTTAACTTCTATAGAGTGGCTCAAAAAGTGTGAGTGGACCTGGATGATTTTTTTTTTAAATGGAACACCCTGTATATTATTACATTTTGGCTTCCTTTCCGATCACTTTACATAACCCTAAGATATGAATAAATAAATTTTGATAGTTTCAGAGATATTAAAAATAAATCAAAAATATATATTTTTTCAGCCCTTCTTAAAAAAATTATTAAAAATACAAAAACTGTTCCTGCTGAAACAAAACTATATTAGGTATTTACTTTAGATGGTCTGTACTTACTTTGCTATAAATATGAAATCGTAAATTATACAGGATGTTCAAAATTCTAAGCCAAACTTTCTAAAATATAAAATAATTTTTCTTCGTTTTTAAATGGAACACCATGTATATTATTTTTTCCAATAGACGGAGAATTAAAAATGAACATTTTTATATTTAGAGTATTTTAAAATTTTTAACGGTTTCGCAGATATTTGCGGTTTTATATTTCATATGGAATTTTTCACAGTAAATTTTTATCAAAGCCACCCAGTAATTTTTCTCTCGTATTTTACCATTGAAAGCGCCATATGAAATAATACTGCGTGTATCTACGAAACCGTTAAAAATTTTGAAATACTCTAAATACAATAAATGTTCATTTTTAAACACTCCATCTAATAAAAAAAATAATATACAGGGTGTTACATTTAAAAAAACAAAGAAAAAATATTTTATATTTTAGAAAGTTTGGCGTAGAATATTGAACATCCTGTATGAATTACGATTACCATATTTATAGCAAAGTAAGAACAGACCATCTAAAGTAAATACCTAATATCGTTTTGATTTCAGAACAGTTCTTGTATTTTTAATAGTCTTTTTTAAGAAGGGCTGAAAAATATATATTTTTAATTTATTTTTAATATCTCTGAAACTATGGAAATATATTTATTCATATCTTAGGGTTATGTAAAGTGATCTGAAAGGAAGCCAAAAATGCAATAATATACAGGGTGTTCCATTTAAAAAATCATCCAGGTCCGCTCACACACTTTTTGAGCCACCCTATAGAAGTTAAAATATTTTCCTGAAATACATCCTGGTACATACTTTAGATTTGCACTAAAACAAAATTCTCAAGTTTTTTTATTCTAGGAGCTACAGATGCCCGACGCACTATTGCCGGACCCTGTATATTTGATTCATAATCTAAATATTTTAAAGTAAAATGTCAAGGAAATCAATATCAAATTATCGATATTGACTGCGAATATAATTAAAAGATAAATGTTGTAAAACTACATATTTAAATTTTAAATGCTTGCTCTACCGATTTGTTTTATTTTAAAACTACTGATGAGCATAACAAACAAAAAATTCAAGAAAGAAAAAAAACCTCAAAAATATCTCAAAATATTTCTTTAAAGTTTTATTTTAATTAGACTGTGTAAGTATAATGAGGATATATGTTAATAATAAAAATTCATTCAAATCAAATTGCCAATAGTACTGCAAAATCAAGCACAACAAATTAACGAACTAAATACAGCCAGCAATAAAGTAAGCCTCAAAATAAATTTAGTAAAAACTAAAATAATTTAAAACAAACTAGTACACAGAAAAGACATTCTAATAAATGAAACAACACTGGAAATACCAGAAGAATATATAAATTTCTAAAAGAATTTTTTAAATAATGTACAGATACTTGTTTTTATATCTGGCAAAGGTTTAGAGAAGCTCGCGTATTAAAAAAAAATGTTTATTATATTTGCTAAAGTTTCTATGCATACCCGCCATTTATGTATCATATTCTGTATTTTTATTATTCTCTTATAGGGTCTACGAAAAAAAAAGGTTTGTGAAGCTCTGGTCTAAGGTAAGCTAATTATGATCAAAAACATAAGGTTCATTACAGCATGGTGGTTCAAAAACTCACTCTCATAGTCGTTTTAAATCAGTTCTAACAAATTTGTTTGGTTTTTCACAAACTTTTTAAGAAAACAAAATAATTATCGTATTAATAAAATTTGGGAAATACCACAAAAATATTAAAAATAAACAGAGACAGTATTCTATGAAGGGTATGTTTTTCTGATAAAATTACGTTACAGTTTTTCTTATAAGACTTTCTCATGCAGTGTTTTTTTACAAAAAAAACTATACTCCACTCACTTAATAAAAATCAATGAAATTTTAGTTTTTGGGCTGATTTTCAATTAAAAATCGTAAATTTTGAACTACAGTATTTTGACAAAAGAAAATAATTATATTTTTTTACAAGTATAATAGCTTAAATTCTAAAAAAACAACTGTAGATATTTTGAAGAATTTTCTAATCTATAATAATTATTTTTCTTGATAACTGGCAAAAAATCGCACAAGTATAACGTTACATTGTTCAAATCAACTAGATTAAATATTATTAAAAAACGAATTTTTAAAAATGGGGAATACTTTGTGTAACACGCTATACGATATATTAATTATACACTTTTGTTGGTTTAAGCTTTAATTTAAAGCTTCTATATAATTTCCAAGTAAAATCTCATTAACAGACAGAGACAATATCCTAGATAGTCTAAAATTATAAAATTTCAAAACTCACCTAAAAATTCCAAATCATTTCTAATAAAATAATTTCCTTCCTTACTGCATTTTTCTTTAATCCACCAGCACAATATAAAACATCGATAAAAGCACAAAATTAAAGTAAATAAAGTTCAAAGAAATACAGAAACCAAAAACACCAAGCCACTTTTTGAAGATAATAGAAATTTGTACATACAGCGAGCGAACAGAACTTGATATAGAAAACTGAAGAATGAGAATGAAGATGTTGAATGTAGATATAGAGGGAAATCACTAAGACGCTTGCGATGATGCGTCGCGACGCGCGTCGTCGTTTTGTGACGTCACGCGGGACGGCAGGAATTGAGTCGATCGCGTTCACCTGTTGCTGGTACGACTAGCGCGGGCTATCAGCGACGATTTTGCGGCGGGAGTGTATGAATTCTAAAGGAGAGGGCTAAGTTTTGGCGTGTGGGGAGGATATTAGGAGGAGAGGTATTTTGGAGAAATATGGTTAATATTTTGTTCATAGAAAACTGTAACTGTAACCTATAGGTTAAGCGAATATATATATTTTTCAAACCATATATTTATACTTCGTTATACCTCTAAAATATTTAAAAAATATATCTAGTATTTTTTAAAACTTTAGTAACTGAAATCTAATATATTTTATTCCTAGTATACCGGGTGCGTCTCAAAAGTGGCTCACTCATATAACTTTTTTATTTTTTCACATAAAACAACGAGATTTGGTATGTTAGTATATGCCATAAATTGGGATTGATTGACGTATCTCATTGTTTTTGGTCACTTCCGGTTTCACCGGAAATGACTACAACTTTTGATTTTTAAAAGGTACCCTCGGTATTTTTTTACTTTATTTGCTGGAAAATGACACTCTGAATCGAATGACATATCATATGACATATATATATATATATATATATATATATATATATATATATATATATATATATATATATGCTAACTGCTATATATATGGAGTATATATATATATATATATATACCATTTAAAAATCAAAGTTGTAGTCATTTCCGGTGAAACCGGAAGTAACCAAATACAATCAAATACGTCAATCAATCCCAATTTATGTCATATACTAACATACCAAATCTCGTTGTTTTATCTGAAAAAATAAAAAATTTATAGGGGGCGAGCCACTTTTGAGACGCATCCGGTATATCTAATTAAATAAGGCACCGTATGATCGAAAAAAAATGACGTCCAGTTGGCTTGGAAATGACGATCGATGACATTTCCCATACAATTTTACATATAAAATGACAGCGATCTTCATTTCATAGCCATCGCTGATGCCGTTTTTATTCGATCATACGGTATTTAATAATACATTTTTAGTAACTCAACTAAAAATAATTGTGGAATAATTGTGGAATCTTAGAAAATTCAGAATTTCTGAAAATTTCCCTACTGTTTAGCAAAGAAAAATTGAAAATATAATATTACATTGTTAAGACGACTAGATTAAATATTACTAAAAATATAGTTATTTTAAAAATTTATAGAATATTTCTGGGTAATGAACTACAGGATGCATTAAAAATACACTTTTTCTCTGTTTTAAACATCAAGGTTCAATAATATCCAAGAGTAAGTCTGTGGACACTTGAGACATTCAGGGGCTAAGTTTTGGCGTGTGGGGAGGATATTAGGAGGAGAGGTATTTTGGAGAAATAGATGTATATATAGTTTTGAAAGTCATCGGTGGAGAACCAGATATCCGTTCGACTCGAGAAATAATTTCGGTGTTTTATAAAGCATTTAATGAGGATATATTTTTTTCTTAAAATAATATTTAGGAAAGGGAACTTTTTAATTTTATAAAATATATTTTCTACGATGACTGAACTATACCTCTTTATGCAGTATATTAATAACGTAAGCCTTTCTTCAACATATATGTCGATTGTTCCACTGTCGATCTCTAAGATCTCTAGCACCAATGACCTGATTTATTCCTAGGTTTGTCTTGTAAAGACGATCCTGAGACATGTTGTGAAATGATCCATTCTTCTAGTTTATTTTTTCGAAACATGTTTTCTAGTAAAAAGCAAAACAATATATATTATTGTTTTCTTAGAAGTAAAAATGGCGCCCTTTGTGGCGAGGCTGTTTGACCCTTGTCTATAAGGGTTTGACATACAGACGAGGCACAAAAAGTCGTTTTTAATCCGAATAGAACATTCTATTTTTTTTTCAAACGCTCACAAATCATTTTTTAAACAATTTCAAACGTTCCAAATAATATAAAAAGATTTAAAAGTAATACCTTCCTGTATGTAATTATATATCGAGAAACTATGGTTACGCTCGTTGAATTAGACACGGTGTCAGTTTAATAATATATTTTCGTACTTGTATGCCTAGGCGTTAAAATGACTTTTTTCTACGATCGTGTAAAAAGTAGCTATTTTTTACACTATCTACTGCAGGGGCGGGAAAGTGAAATAGCAAAAGCGGTTCCACCGTTTCCACGGAAATCTCAAATAAAATAGTTCCAGCCCTAGCCACTAGGTAGTAGTGCAATTAATTTTTAGGTTAAGAAGTTGCTACTAGTTATTGCCAGATGGCGTTAAATCAGAATTTTTTTGTAGTTTCCATAGTTTCCAACGGCCATTGTCATATTATTGTCAAATTCTCAAAAAATATTGTCGTTGTCATAGCGCCAATCATAATATTATCAAATAAATGATTATTGATGATTATCAAAATGTTTTTCAACCTATAATTTGTTATATGTCTTTTAATTAGACAAATCCTTTTGTTTGTGGCCCTAAAAATATAATGTAAGTCTTTTATTTTTGCCATCATGTAAGTACCTATTTATATTTACTCCATTTACAAAACTTTGGGCCTATTACGTTGGTCTTGTTTTATTATAATAAACGATGTTTAAATATTTGACTTATAAATAAAAACTTTAAATAATAAATAATATTTCACATGTTTGGCTTTAATTTTATTTAATAATTGTATAAATTATACTGTTAAATCTTATTTTTTACACATCACAACGATACTTGTTATTAGTATTGTTGAATTTGTGTAAAAAATAAGATTTAATAATCAAATTTAATTATATATTTTAGAGTAAAATTCAATAAATACGCTCATTTAAAAAGCCCGCGCTTCGATCCATTTAAAACAAGCCCTACTCAATAGATGGCGCCACTTCTGTAGGACCATTTTTCAGTATGGCAGAGTCCATTCTTTTTCTAGCTAGGTATATTCTTTGATCTACTGTATTAAAAGCCTAGATCATATATACTTACGTGGATAAATCAACGCCATACGTTTAGCATTAAAAAATATGTCCCTAACATCACGACATGCCATTTTCAAACCGTCTTTATTGCACTTATGAAACGTTCAATAGACTTGTCTTTCTCGAGGACCTGACTTTACGCATGCGCATTAAAAGTGGCACGTATTTCCCAAATAATTACAATTTTATCCGGTTTAGAAAGTACAAATCGTACAAATTATATATTGTTATGGAAACCAACTTTTCACTGTCATTATATTGTCATAATCTTGTCATAATCATATGTCATAATGTTATTTCCATTGTGTAACGACGCTTGTTTTTTGCGTTTTTTATTTTAAACATTGTTTTAATTACTCTTTTATCGATCGCTTTTATATAGCCAAGGATGCAAGTGTGTTCAGTGAGAAGTTAATTTTAAGTTTGTGCAATTATATTTCTATTTTTTATTCGTTGGGTTTTAATTTTTGGGTAAATATTAGTAAAAATGACAAGAAAGTGTTTGGTGTGTCGAAATTATAATATAAATGTTTCCGAATTATCTTTTCACAGGCAAGTAAAGTATTCAGTTATTCTTTTATGTATATTAAACCACATGCATACTTTTTGGTTAGATTTCCTACGAATATTGATATTCCTACGGAGTGGTTAATTTATTTTTTATATAATTTAATTTTTGTGACAGTAACATTCAATTATTGTTCAAATATCTGCATTTTACAAATTAAATTTTTAAAATTAATGTTCAAATTTTGCGCGTGGGCGATAGGTCCTCGACAAGGATAGATAGAGTAGAAGCACCGCGTATGCAACAAGAAAAGAAGATAAATGCAAGTCGTTGATATGTTTGGGACAGTTTCCATGGTGATTTACTTATCCACCTAAGTATATATGATCTAGGATTAAAAGTCAATTTTTTACACTAGTACAAAAAATAAGTTATTGCAATTCACAAAAAAATAAGTTATTTTTTGCACTAGTGCAAAAACATCTTAACATTATTAATGACGAGTTTAACTAAAGTGAAAAAAGATTTTTGTAAAAATTCTTCAAATCCTGAAAGGTAACCCAAGTATCAGTACTGGACACCTCGCAGCAACATTCAAGAAAATAATTTTAAGTGAAGAACAAGAACCCAAGACCTCCACGAGCAGAAATGAAAATAAAATTCAAAAGACTACAGGAAATAAAGTTTGTCCATCATGAACTGAAAAAAAGTTATTAAAAAAAATTATATTTGTTTATAGTGTCAGTGTCAGTGGGGTTATATTATTCTATGAATTTCTCTAAAAACTTTTTAATAAACATTTAAATAAGAAGTTCAATTCGATCGTAGAAAAAATGTTGTGTGCAACATGTGCAAAAAGCATATTTGTTGCACTCGGCATGATTGCAACAAATATGTCCTTTTTGCACTAGTTAAACAAATAACTATTTTATATTTTCAATCACGTCGCAAAAATTAATACTTTTGTGACTTTAAAAAAAAATATTAATTATAAAACATGTGTGCTGTTTTGAATAAAAACATAATTCAAACACGCGTTTTGATTCCTAAATACCTAGCACGTGTGGTATAGTTTACATATCGTAGTATTCACAACATTCAGTGTTGTTTAGCTTAATGTGGGTCAAAATGAAACTAAGGGCTTATCTTTTTACGGAATTACAACCTTCATTGAGAAATTTAATAACTTTTTTTCCATAGCGACTGTTAAAATTGCTTTATATCTATCAAAAATAGTAGATAAAATAGTACTTTAACCGTAAATGATACTTTAACAGCGAGGATAGGTTAAATACTTTATTTCTTCTCGCACGTTTTTTAATTACTTCCATTTTTGAAAATTTTTGTATTCCTTTTCATAAGTTATTCGGGATTTAAATGGAAGTAGTTTGGATATGGTGTTTATCGTCTCAGCCTGAATATCTATTGGTAATTTACTTAGTTCATTTTGAGCCATTTCTGCAAAGAATATACCTAGCATTTCTGGCTCCAATTCAATCAGCAATCGACACGAAAGCGAATTAAAAAATATTGACTCAAAACTGACAACTAAAGAGACAGCTTTATTTATTTGTCAAATTACATGAAAACCAACGCCAACCCA